CTTCAGGTGTTGTTTTTTTACTTAAAGTTGCTAAAGCAGTATTCATAACCTTCAAAAATTCTTTACAATAGTCAAAATTCATTGTGAATTAATAAAAATTTAACTGTTCCTTGATATTTCACATCGGACGTAACAATACAATGTAGTAATAAGAAATTCTTCCTCACTCTTTTATAGTCATACATTTTTCTCTATCTCTTTTTACTAAATATACTTCATCATTTTCTAAGAGATTTAGATTGAATCATTATTGTCAGCTGATGTGAAAATAAATTAAAATTCATGCAAAAATTACATCTTGAGAGTTAATAATACTAATAATAATAATAATTGTAATAATTAATCATAATAATTGTAATAATTAATAATAATAATTGTAATAATTAATCATAATAATTGTAATAATTAATAATAATAATTGTAATAATTAATAATAATTATTAATAAATAATAATTGATAATAATAATAAGTATTATATGTCTTCTAATTTTATTGTGCTGACATATCTCATATTACACTACAGATGATTCCTCTCTGAAATGTATGTAACTATTTTTATCATCCAAGCAAAAAACCACTCATAACATTAACAGATGATGTTTTCTTATTCTGATAATATCTGTATAATTATTATTCTATTAAATAATTAAACAATTTATTTAAATATTAAGAAAACCAAATTTATTTGAAAAATATTTTATACTTACCGTATGATCAGGAGATATAGTGAAACTCTGTATGTCAACTTGTACTTCATAAATATACTTATTCGTTTCTCAATTTTGAAAAAAATTTACAAATTTTGGGAGACAAGTTTTTGGGGAATTTTCAGGAAAAATTTTTTTTCTTTGTATCTCTTTAGAAGTTTCTCGATTAGAATGGATTAGAACCATTTTTTATTTCAAATGTCGGTAAATGTCGGTGCAGGAATCTGTATCTAGAACCGGCACTGTATATCTACTAAAGTTCATATTTTTACTGTTTTGATTTTGTATTTTTTTACCTCAAAAATAATGCTTAATTCAGGAAACCTGGAGAATCCACTGCATTTGACGTAAGGCACTGCGTATTTTTAAAGGTGATAAGAGCTCTTTTAAATTTGTGGTTTCCCTAAAAATTCGCGAATATGCCATTTTCTCTCTACCAGTATATCGATTTAATAGGTAAAAGACTTACAAATTCTACTTGCGTGAATGAATGAATTTATTAGTAACAATTAGAAAATTTTTTGTATAATGTGTACCGGAAAAATAATGTTAATAATTTCACGTAAATGTAGTTAAAATTATTATTTTACAAATAAGCTAGCGTATTTATTCTTGCTCTACCATGTTAACAGGCTCAACAGCGTATGAAAAGTTTGTATTATTAACTTGGATTAGAAAACACAACGACGTTAAAAAGGTTACATCAACGATTGTAAATTCATTTGGAAGAATTTCTAGTTTGTGAATGTATTTGAGTCCTGGTCCTCTAAGTATACACGTATTCGGATAAGCAATTTGAGGTCGACAAGTTTTCATAATAGCATAATGATCTGCTCTACATTGACGTACTCTGCGGCATGAAACTCTTACAAAAAGTGTTATAATCCCGAATTTATTTTGATTCCAATCAATGTATTTTTCACAAGTATAATTCGTTACTTTCGCCTGTGTATATAATTCTGACATATATACTATGTTATTTTTACATAGTCTTTTAAAAACGATATATCTTTGACCACCAATTCCGCGTAGTTCAAATTGTTCTAAGATTATTAAAAAATAATAAAAAAAAATTCTTCATTTCGGAAGCCTTCCAGTATGCTAAATGTTTCTTAATAGATCGCGGTCTTCTTTGAACAAATCCAGGTGGTTTAATATGTATTAGCCTCGCATCGACGATATCAATATACCTAAATAATGACCAAGACATATGGGAAAAATCTGGATTAAACCATAAATTCATTATTGCTCTCATGACACCCTCAAAAATGCAATGCATAGCATCAATTGCAATTGTTCTGATCCATTGAAATAACAGGAGAGATAAAATGGTAAAACCTTTCACACCAAATATAGGTTTTCTAGTAACTTGCGCGGCTTCGTCGAGGGTTTCATTTTCCGAACGCATTGTCATATTTCGTTGGTATGGATATACTTGCACTCTACCAATTCTTTCTCCTTCCTTGCATTTATGGCAACCATATTTACCATTATATTGGTTCATATTTAAAAAGAGAGCTTTTGCGAGGAGATCGCATGTCCCACAAATTATTATTCCTTGTATGGTGATTGGATTTTCTGCATCAGGTATGTTAAATTGAATACCATGATAAATTTCATGAATTTCATCATACAAAAGAAGCAGAAACATGTTTGGTGAAGGCTTTTCTTCACCAAACCACATTCCTGCTAAAATTAAATTTTCTTTTTTGAAACGCTCTTCATAAGGAAGTTCATTGATGACAAGGTATAACGGCCAAAACGAAAATTTGAATGATTTATATACCTTAACAACATCCGTGTACCAACAAAATGAAATGTTGTTAGGACTAAATAAAATATTTCCATCTCGACTTAACTCCTTGTAAACGTTTCCGTCATAAATTTCTTTAATATTACCTTCTTGTAATTTAACCCTATTGTACTTATAATTTAATTTTTCCCTAAAATTACGCCTGCTATATAAAGAACCCAATTGCGAAACTATAGAGATTGTCATAAAATAATTAATTTCCGTTCGATCAAAACAATTTGGACCAGTAATAGTAAAACGTAGTGTAATTCAATAAGCTCTCAGAGAGTGTTAAAGGGCAATTGGGAAGCAACGGTGGGTCTTCATTGTTCACAAATTCTTCGTTTTCATTTTCCGAATTACTGTGCTCGCTTTCATCACTTTCATTTTCATTTTCTAAATCGCTGATACTGCTGTTCTCGCTTTCACTGATAATGCTGTTCTCGCTTTCACTGATACTGCTATTCTCGCTTTCATTTTCACTTGTTGTATCACTGATATTACTATTGTTACTTACATCATTACTCTCTTCCGAAGCATCATAAAATTCTAAATTGTTATAAACTCATTAAAATTTATTTTTTAAAATAGAAGACATTTAAAAAAGGTATTTTAAAACTAATCTTTCCACGTGAAAATATTCCCGGGTATCTCCTGGGAAAGGATTGGGAGTTTATTCTCTGAAGGGAATTCCCATTTTCACCGACCATATTTTCACTTTCACATTCAATGTGAATGTGACAGTAAAAGTGTAAATTTGGTCGATGAATGTGAAATTGAATATAAAAGTGAAAATATCGCCAGTGAAAATTAATATGAAAGTGAAAATCTAGTCAAAATCACTTCCACATTTAATGTAAATGTGATAGAAAAAGTGGGAATTTGCTCGGTGAATGTGAAATTAAATAAGAAAGTGAAAATCTAGTCGGTGAAAGTGAATTTAAAATTACATAATCAACTGCCAATCCCTTGCCAGTGCCCAGTCAAAATTTCTGCACGGAATATACAATAAAAACAGAGAATATATAACAAAGAAATAAAAGCGAATAATAAAAAGCCAATAGAGCCTCTCTAAATTTGAATTAGTAAAAATTGTAACTAATTTGAATTAGTGACTCACTTTTTGCATTAGAATTAGTTAAATTTTACTTACTAATTGTGAGTAAATTTTACTAATAAGTAGTAGAATTTTACCAACTTAGAAGCAAAAAGTGAGTCACTAATTCGAATTAGTAAACATTTTTACTAATTAAAAATTAAGAGAGTAAACATGAAAGATGAAAATAATATATAAAAAGATAAAAAATAAAAATAACTATTATTTATTATAAATAATTTCGTGTATAAAGTTAAACGTTATGATCAATTATTTTCAATAATTAATTTAGGACTAATTAATAATTATTAAAAAAATTAAATAGCTAATTATTGTTAATTACTTTATTTCTTATTGACTAACGTTTTTTTCTGAACGAATTTGTACTCAGAAATGTGAAACATTAAACATTTTAAATGTTTTTTTGAGACGTAAAGAATAAAATTTTTTATTAACATTTTATAAATAAATAATTTAAAAAAGTATTAAAAATAAAAAATTTTTAAAGCAAAAATTATTTTTGTAAAGTGCATTTCAAGACAGAGAAACCCTATTTTGATCCTTAAATCGGTCAACCGGATTTTGAGGAAAAAATCTGATTCTAGCATTACTTCAGATGAAAATTATTGTGAAAATAATAATAATGAAAGAGTAGAAGAAAACACTATTTAAAACAATTTCAATCCGATTCTCTACATTTTTAGCGTTTCATTACTTTTTGAATGGAACTGTTCAAAAATGAAAGAATAATTATGTAGTAGAATGATAAATGGAAAAAAATGAAAAAACATCGAAGAAAAATGAATGAAGAAGAATAAAAATGAATAGAAGAAAATATAAAAGCAAAATGTAGTAATCTACCAAAGTTCTAACACTGACCTGTACATATATAATCTATTTCTTTTAGCACTCAGCCACCATTATCAGCGTATGCCAGTAAGAAATGATTTCTGCACTGTGTTTATTTTATGGGAAGATTATGGCACACAATCCCGACGGCGTGACGCGAAACCAATATGTCATATGTCTAACCAAAAAGTGTAGTTTGAGTTGCCGCTTACTGGCCTTTTTACACAACACACTTCGTGTTTAACAAATAGCAATTTTTATCTCAGTTTTATTATAACCTAAGTAGTTTAAAAATTACCATCATCAGAATCATCGTCATTATTATCGTCGGTTGAGATCGAATTCGTATAAGAATCATCAGTATTCCGCTCTTCTTGTGCATTCTGATTTTCATAATCATTATTGATATCAATATCATGAATATCATCATTAACACTATAATCCTTAAAGTTGTTGACGTTATCAATTTATGTACAGAAAATTAATCCCGCAATTTTAATTTAAAAATTGTATTTAATTGTGTACATGTATAATATAAATCTGTACGATTTATTTCTTTTTGAATTTCTAATTTTGAGAAAAATATAAAAATTGTGTAAATAAAATGATTTATACTTTTAAAATGTAGTCTCAATTTTATCTTGTTAAAATTTTTATGTAAAATTTCAATTTTTTAAACAATTTTTCTCCAGGCAATAGAGAAAAAATCTAACACAATTTAGTTAAAATTTAAAACTAAATTGATATATAATTATAAGTGATATAAATTAATATATTATTTTATGAGGTAATTACAGAATGTATATCATTTGAATGGTCTGAATAATCTGAATCATCTGAATTATTTGAGTCATCAGAGCTTGATTCCCTTAAAGCATTTAATATTCTTCTTTGATGTCCTACGGAATATTCTTCTAAGTTTCTTAAATGCCGTTCCATTATGATTTAATTTGATAAAGCAAAATAAGTATTTCCCACACGAAGAAAGTGTCAAAATTATATAAAAATAACAAAACAGAATAATCAATATTTAAAAAAACACGAGCTTCGATAAGTTATCGATTTATTAAAACATTTTATTTATTGAAATACATATTGTCATTTGTTTATATTAGTCAAATTTGACATCTACACCCTAGAAAATAGACGTTAAAAATGGGTAAAATCGAATCAAGTAACTATAATGGCGGAAACTCCAGATTTAAAAAAATTTAACGAGGGCGATATTGTAAAAGTGAATTATGAAGGAAAGCCTTTTGAAGGAATTTTAATTAAACGAAGCCGTAAGTAAAAATAATATTTATAAGAAATCAAGTATGTTTAGGGTCTCAAATTTTTTTCTGAGAATATTGACTATTTAAAAATAGAATTTATTATCAAAACTTAAAAAATTATAAATTTGTTAATAATTTTTCAAACTAAAATTCAAAATTTTTGAAAAGTTAAAATTTCAACTTCCCTAACAATTTCTATTATTTTTCATTGACTTTTTTTATACGCTTTTTTCTTGATTATGAACGATCAAGCATAAATAGATATTAAAAAATTTCAATTTCTTAAAAAAAATAAAAAATTTAAAAAAATGTCTCGTCACCGTAACATTTTTTATATTTATTTATGTAAAATTAATTTTTTTTAAAAATACAATATATAAAAATTATAATGTTTCTTTAAGATGTAGTGTTCTTGACATTTTGTACTATTAAAATAAGGAAATCAACATACGGAGTCACCAACACATAGAAGAAAAGCAATAAACACTTTTCACGTCTGTGAGGTACCGATCTTGAAACTAACCCAAAGAGGCGAGCTGGTACCGCCGCGAAGAATACATAGGAAAATATACCTATATAAAGGGAGACCTTTCACTTCAAAGGCAGTCCCAAATTATACACAAGGATTTCGTCATAGCAAGTGTTATATACAGTCTCAAAAATTATACACACCGAGCTCGTCGTAGTGATTTCCAAAATATACAAGTGTCATCATAGTTCACATAAGTTACGGTCCAGGTTAAAATATACGTGTCAGTGCGGTAATAAAAATCTTAACGACTCAAGATCTTAGGAAATCAATACAACAGGTGCCGATAGAAGACTCATCAAAATAAAAATATTAAAGGTAACCATACCAAATATTTAAAGAAAGAATTATTTGATTGTACAAATTGTCAGGAACATTTATATTCTTTAAAATAAATAATTTTTATATTATATTTAATCATTCATTTAGTAAAACCTCTTCCCAACTTAGTTATTTTAACTAAGTTAAATTGAGGAAATTAGAATAGGGAACGATTATAAGTTTAGATTAGTAAAAAATTAATATTTATGACATAACAGAACTTATAATTTCTGGTGCATCGGCCTGGGTTAAATTATTAAATGAATGATCATTTTTTAATAACTTTTGCAATATTAATTAAAAATATAAATAATTAAATAAATAATTTATTGAACAATTAATAAATAAACAGTTAATTAAAATAAACTAAATAATAAAATAAATAAATTGATAACTAAATAAATAATTAATAACTAACAATTAATGAAAAAAATTTTAAACAAATAATTATAAAATCAATAATTAATTAATAAAATTTAAATAAACAATAAATAAATATTAAAAATAAATAATTCTCTTAAATAAACTAAAAAATTTTAAAACAAATATTTCAATTTACAAATAAATAAACAATATAAAAATAATTAAATAATTAATAAATAAACAATAAATAAATATTTAAAATAGATTATTATCTTAAATAAAATAAAATTTTTTTAAAACAAACATTTTAATTTACAAATAAATAAACAATATAAAAATAATTAATTAATTAATAAATTTTAAATAAACATTAAATAAATATTAAAAATAAATAAAATTTTTTTTTAAAACAAATATTTCAATTTATAAATACATAAACAATATAAAAATAATTATATAATAATTAAATTTTAAATAAACAATAAATTAATATTAAAAATAAATAATTCTCTTAAATAAAATTTAAACACATTTTTTCTATAAAATTTTTTTTTGACCAAAATATTGTTTAACAAGTTATAAACAAATAAATTTTCAAAATTTTTAAAATAAAAAAAATTTTTTTGCTTAAATTTTTTCAACAATATTAATAAATAATTAATTCTAAATAAAATTTGCAAATTTTTAAGAAATACTGTTATTTTTAATTAAATAATTTGTGAACAAAAACAATCAAATAATCCTTTACTTATTCTATAAACGTATTTATCCATCATATTATATATATATATATATTTGTATACACATATATTTGTCTACACATACGTTTGTCCACACATACAAAAATTAGAAAACATAAAACTGACAATTTTTATTCTACACGGAGAGAAATTTCTTACTGTTTTCGTATGAAAACGACTTACTAATTTAGTAAAACAACTGCTGCGGCGTTAATAGCATAAAATTTATACCAAAACTACTCTTGGACATACTAAAATAGTTCGAGTTGTTCTGGAGACATAAAGTGTCGTTGATTCTTCTATATTCGTAGCAACTTTATGGCTCTATTACACGAATGACGAGTGAATATAGTTCCCCTCTCTGCCATGCGAGATTCGTTCAAGGCACATACGAATATCGCGTCAACGTTGAGCGATTAACTTACAAGCTGTATAGGTGCTGTATAGTAAGCGAATTTACTGTTTTGACGTTAGAAGAATACATGACCATGTAAATTTACAATATTTTTTTACAGTATATGTTTACAGTATATGTACTTTATTTACAATAAAGTACATATTAATATGAAATTATAAATAATCATATAAAAATAATAATATACAATTATAATTGAAATCAATCAATAATCCTAATCTCTACGCGGTAAATTTTAAGCAAAACATTTGAACCTAAATGTTGTTTTTCACATTCAAAAATGAAACTAAAAAGCTAAAAAAAATTTCTAATATATAAATAATGAAATATATTAATTAACTATCAATGTTGCAGTAAAATAAATACAAATAATTTTTTAATAAAAATATTTTCCTTTACAAAAAAATTACATTTTTCTTTTTATGTGTATATTTTCTGAAAATTTAGAATTTTAGCGTTGTTTAATATACTGCTTTATTATTATTAGTTATTTTTTAATTTAAAGAATAGGTAATTATTTAAATATTATATATATTTTTTTGATGTAAGAAATTTGTTATTTTATAAACAATTTTTAATTACAGCTGTGCAAAGAATCGAATTTTGTATGGGATCGAATCAAATATTCGATCCGATCCCATGTAAATTCTTATGGAGCGGATCGAATTTTAATTTAAAACTGCATTTAAAAATGTTAATTTAAGAAATTTTAGTAATAATAATTTTTGATATTTTTTTCAAGTCTTCTGAAAACTTATTATTTGAAATAGATAAATTATAATTAGATTTAAATTATTAAAAAATTTTAAAAGCTATATTATAACAGGGAGCATATTTTGGTATTTTCAGGATATTTAGTGCAAAATTTATTCTAATAACTATATAGTGTTTTAAAAGAAAAACATGTAGAACAGTTTTTTAAAGAAATATATTTATTTACATTTGCTATCAAGTTTTTAACAAACATTGAGGTCAGAGTAACTGAATCGAATACGATTTTTGTTTAAATGTTATATCTCGTAGCGATTAATTCGGCGTCGTTTTTCAATATATACAAGCATGGTGGAAACCTTGGAACTAATTGCATATTTATTACTGTTGAAAATTTATCTCTTGGGGAATTTACCTGATATGCCCAATAATAATGATTGAAAAATGAAGTTTTATATTCTTCGATCTGTAAATAAATATTATTTTCAATTTCAAAATTTTTTTTCAATTTACCAAAATGAGGCCCTTTGTCGTCTATTCGTGTAATAAGAATTGTTCCCTCCGAAAATTTATGGTGTAAAATTTCAATGTGTTTAAAGGTTTTAACATCCAATTGCTTATTAATATTTGGAATCAGCTTTAAGAATTCATCCTGAGCATTTTTGTTGTCAATTGGTCCATATGTGATGTCGCTTTTTGCGTTAGTGCAAAATTCTTTGGTATAACACAGTTGTAACTGGTGTCGAATACCAATGGTCAATGGTAAGTTTATGTTGGATGACGTGCCAACAGCTATCTCCTTTAATTTTCTATTTTTACGTTCAAACATAAGCGAGGAAAAGTGACAAACTGGACCATTTCTGATAGTCACTGTAGGATAATGGGTCCAGATGTGCATTTTCGGTTTTAGTGGACCGTATAAAGTAATGTACAATGCATTGTGTTTCGAAATTAATTTTTTCAATTCTGCAATTTCACTTATATTTAATTTCGGGGAAGTTATAATTCCTATCGCCCTTCTAATATATTGGTACAATTTCCAGTTTTCGTTTCCTGCAGGTATTAAGTCTCCTATCATAAGTCCCAAGTATCTCACCAGGCAAAGCATTTCTGATGCAGATTGTTTTATTTTTAATTTTTTACATTTTTTCCCCTGTGTGTAAAATAAGGGCATCGGTTTATTCGATTTTTCGACGTCATTGTAGGGAAAAGTTTCAATTCTACGGTTTAGTTCTTCCAAAGTTATTATTTTTTTATCTATTAATGATTCTAATACTTTGCCCGTTGAATACACTGCTACTCCTTCAGGAACATCATGCATGGCGTCCACAGTAACATTTTTGCTAATGTGAAATTTTGGTATTCTATTAAAAATACAATATTCCTTAATCCCGTATAACGAAGGATCAATTAAAATGTCTGCCTCATTTGACTTTAATGTTCTAAGTAGATTTTTATTTTCTGTAGTCAATGTTTTACATTGCTCTTGAGAAGCAGTACAAATTCTGCAATAGTACTTTGATTTTGAAAAGTTTTGATAAAATCCACAAATTGTATTGAGTCCAAGTTTGTCCCCTAAAATTAAAACACATTCAAAGTATACTGTTATTTCTTGATCATCAATATTTAATTTTATGCCCTTTGTTGACAAAGAATGGAAATCATCAATGGCTTTTCTGAAAATTTTTTCGTTACCGAACGTCTTCAAATCTTTTGCATAACAAATGATAACAAGAAGTATGCTCTCCATTTTAGCGACTAAATGCGGTGGTAAACAGGGTATTGAGACAAATCCACCTCCTAATTTATGTTCGCCTGCGTGGCTGCCTAGCGGATTTCTAACTTCAAACTCATCGTAGTAAAAAAAATCGGAAAGACAATTTTCCCTTCATTTTGTGGCACATATTTTTTTAACCAAACATTCCCTTGTACAAAATTTGACAAGTTACTATTTGCAGATAATTCGTCTGCATATTTTTTCATTTCATTAAATACTCCCGGTATTTGCAAAACTTTTGTTAAAGTTTGTGGCAAAGGAATATGAACCGCAGTTTTTGTTTTTGTTGCTACAGAAATTTTTCCACTGGTGTCAGTCACATACCCATCTTCTTGCCCGAGAATAAAGCTCTGAGGAGGTACAAATAAACTTTCATTTTCATATAATGAAAATCTTCTTTGTTCAGTAGAGAATTTGTCGAATAAATATTTGCTGTCATTTAAAATAAACTGGACTTTGTTATAAGATTGCGAATTAGTAATAGGTTGTAATTCTTTTTCAAAACGCGTTTGTAGGTACGGAATAAAATGTTCGGAAAGAAATTAGCAAATTTAGTTGTGACGTCGTCTACAGCTTTGCGGGAAAGCAGAGGGTTATTATATAAAGAAAGCGTAAATTTAAAAACTTCTTTATCCAATGTACTCTTCGTTAGCACTTTTCTTTTAGTACCTCTTTGTTCGCGAATATTCATTTTTGTAACAAAAATAAAAATATAATATTAAAACTTTGGTGTGAAATATAAGTACTTGCAGTATACTAATAACTTAAAAACTAAAGTAAATATTACTTTCTTAAAGATGCACAAAAAACTTAGAACTTGTCTAAGCTTGTAATTAACGAATTAACCCCAGAATACATTTGCTTTAATTCAAAACCATAAATAGCTTTCTCTAGAAATTCAAAAATGTGATTACACGGAAGCGGAAATTTTTTGTGGAAAATTTTCAAACATTGAAAGTGGAGATCAATTGCTTTCACAGCATTTGCAACTTGGTACCTAACGTCACCAAATATGACGCAAGCCGAATTTATATCGCTCAAAGACGGACCATTGAGAACTACATATGATTGGGTCGAGAGCTTATGCGAATTATATATTTCACATATGTCGTCATTCATTTTCTTCAGTGACTCCTCAAAATTTTCACTAGCCTAAAAAAATATATTTTTATTTTAATATTATTATACTTTGTTTATGTATTTATTCGCGCAGGGTGTCCAGTTAATTATTATTTTTAAATTTCCTTTTTCCTCTGATTTTAAACTAAATTTTTCCCATATTTGTTTTTATAAGGACTAATAACTATTCTGCTAACATACTAATGAGATAAAAACGAATATTATAAAACACGGTTTTAAGTTTATAACTTTCAAAAATTTTAGCACTTCTTTCGCATATTTTTACAAATATTTTAAGATTTTTTGACAAAACAAATTTTTTTTGCAAATTTCATGCATTTTTTGAATTATATTATGAAGTGTTGATAAATGATAACGGTAATTCTCATTTTTTTTAAATTATTTCTCAATAATGATAATAATAAATAAAAATTTTCTGTAAGTATTAACAAATTCGGAAAATCTTTTTTGGAAAGTTACAAATCTTTTTTCAAATTTTCGGCAATTTCCCGGAGTTTTTTCTGGTAAAACTAAATTTCTGGTAAATTCCCGATTTTCCTTGTCGCCAGACACCCTGTACATACTATATCATTAAAATAAATATTTTACCTCAATATGTACAATGAAACTCTTCAATATTTCGGACTTTTCGAGATTCCAACTCTCTTGTGTTTTCGTTTTCTTCAATTTTAGGACTCGTTTAAATAAATACGGTAGCAAAATTAGAGCTACAGTTTGTTGGTGTTCTGAAAAAGAGCGTGAAATATTAAAGTACAGTGTAATGTAGTAATAAGAAATAATTTTCTTTCCATTAATATTATTCTTATATATTATGCATGAATATATGGCATACCTTCAGTTTTAAAAGGTGTATTATTTTGCAAAATAGTCTTAATTTCAAGGTCTCTTTTCTTCGACTGAGAAAGTTTAATGATTTTATGCGCTAGTGCTGGCCAATGTTTTGAAAACAAATCAGCAGATTTATTAAAAAATGAATGAAAATCTGCATGTACCTTAAATTTAAATGGAATTAATATTTTTACACGACCTTGCTAAAAATATAAATAAAAATTTATTTAAAATAAAAATTTCTTACAAAAGATAGCCTGCGGGATTGCATAAATTTTGAAATGTCTCAAAAATTACTTTAATCTCTTTTTCCTGATACAGTGCTATTCTTTCTGTTAGCGCCGTCTCACGCCATTTTCTAACATAGTCGTCATGAATGATGTCGACTCTTTTCTTTAGATCTTCCAAAGTATCAGATGCAAAAAATTCTAAAAGAAAATTAATGAATGTTATTTTTTATGTTCACAATGAAAAGTAGATTTTTTCTTACCCTCTACAAGTTTCTTTCTTTTCAGGTGTTCCTTATTATTTTGCATTCGACCGAGAGCAATTTCTTTTTCGCGTTGTTTTAAATAGTAACCAATAAAGGCTCCATTGGCACTTTTGCCGTTGCCTGAACGAATGTAAAATGCTTCCTTAGAATATCCAGAAAAGAGTTCCGCTGCACTTATTGATAACTCTTCAAGTCGATCTGCTGATATGCTAAAAAAATAACAAAATAATAAATAACAATTAATGTTTTAAATTTTATTACTATTCTTTAAACCTATAATAATTAAATTTGCTTACGAAAAAGATCTTGTGCGAAGAAACTCGTGACCAATGACTAATTTTGCAACTTTACCAAGATTGAAATACGTTTGTTTTTTTGCCTCCAATAATTTGTTATAGTTATCTTTATTTTTTTCAAAATTATAAGCTGCCAATAAAAATTCGCCATCATAGGTTTGCTTTAATATATTATAAATGTAATTGTCACATGTTTCATTCTGATCTGTGCATACGATATAAAAATGAAAACTTATATAACTGTGAATTTCATTTCTTTATATTTTAATATAATTCTTAAAGTAATCGTTTCAGAATAGACTTTGCATAAGGACATACCTTGAAGATGATTGTCATTTGAGGAATTATGAGTTGAAACAATACCCGATGTTTCTTGAACTACACATATATTTCCTATAGTATTTTGGCCCGCTGTACCCGAATCTGAGCTCAGAATTGCTACATCACCCTCAGTTTTTTTTTAAATCGACCAAAACCACCCTTAAACGGACAAATTCACACTTCGGCGATAAAAAATAAATCAACTTATTTTTCAAAAAAAACCAAATTTTACATCTACGAAACTTTGCTCTACTAACTCAAGAAAACAAAGCCAGCATTGATCCAGCACCCCCTGAATTTTTTTAATCGAAAAAACTACCCCTAATCTGAAGAATCAAATTCAGGAGGTAAAACAATAAAATAACTGATTAAAAAATTTTATAACCAGGTATTTTTACTCCAGCAAGGCAGAAACAAAGCCAGAAATATTCCCTCACCCTCTAAATTTTTTTAAATCGAAAGAAACACCCTTAAATAGTAAAATTCAAATTTAATAAGTAAAAAATATTAAATTACCGGTTTCTTTAAAAACAGAACCTTACATGTATGTAGTTTTGCTTTACTAACTCAAAAAAAGCCAGCATTGATCCATCACACTCTGAATTTTTTTAATAAAAAAAACTACCTTTAATCTGAAGAATCAAACTTAGGAGGTAAAACAATAAAATAACTGATTAAAAAAGTTTATAACCAGGTATTTTTACTCCAGCAATGCGGAAACAAAGCCAGAAATGCTCCCTTCCCCTCTAAAATTTTTATAAATCGAAAAAACCACCAAAGAATCAAACTTAGGAGGTAATACAATATAATTATATTGTTTTACCTCCTAAGTTTGATTCTTCAGATTAAGGGTAGTTTTTTTTATTAAAAAAATTCAGAGTGTGATGGATCAATGCTGGCTTTTTTTGAGTTAGTAGAGCAAAACTACATACATGTAAGGTTCTGTTTTTAAAGAAACTGGTAATTTAATATTTTTTACTTATTAAATTTGAATTTTACTATTTAAGGGTGTTTCTTTCGATTTAAAAAAATTTAGAGGGTGAGGGAATATTTCTGGCTTTGTTTCTGCCTTGCTGGAGTAAAAATACCTGGTTATAAAATTTTTTAATCAGTTATTTTATTGTTTTACCTCCTGAATTTGATTCTTCAGATTAGGGGTAGTTTTTTCGATTAAAAAAATTCAGGGGGTGCTGGATCAATGCTGGCTTTGTTTTCTTGAGTTAGTAGAGCAAAGTTTCGTAGATGTAAAATTTGGTTTTTTTTGAAAAATAAGTTGATTTATTTTTTATTGCCGAAGTGTGAATTTGTCCGTTTAAGGGTGGTTTTGGTCGATTTAAAAAAAAACTGAGGGTGATGTAGCAATTCTGAGCTCAGATTCGGGTACAGCGGGCCAAAATACTATAGGAAATATATGTGTAGTTCAAGAAACAGACAACTTTTTTTTTGTGTGCCTGTGTTATTATTGGTTAGTGAACAGTTTCCTGGAAATTAGAAATTAGTACATTAGAATTAACTCTGCTTAAATATAAATTATATTATATTTATAATAATTAAAAGACCTATATAATGAAATTGTTGAAAATAACGTATATTTTTTCTTAATGTCTTAAAGTGGAAAGATATATATGTCAACTATGAAATGATTTCTACTCATACAGTACATTTTTAATAAATCTAAAGCACTAATAAAAGATATACTTTATTTCTACCTATGAATTTGTGAAAAGCATGCATGTAGTTATATAGTGTAGTTTAAGAATAACAAATTAAAAGAAAAAACTTTTCTATTTCATTTTGTTTAATTTTTGCAATATTTTTTTAGGAATAACTTTAAAAAGAAAAAGGATGATGCACACATCTTTTGACCAATTTCAGAATACTTTCAACTTTTGTACAAAAATATTAATATTCCATATAATATTAATAATTAAAATTACAGTTTTCAGTATGTATTATAAATAAAGAAATTTTTTTTAATAGTTTCAGTAAATGTAAAGAATTTGTAAAAATTTCTGAATTTCCCTAATTCTAGTAAACAAAATTGTTTAATTTCGCGCTTGGAAACATTTATTTCTTTTAATCGTTAATGATAAACGTTGCAGATATTAACAAAGTAAGAATACCGCATACAGTTTTAAAATACACAAAACATACAAAAACGGTTTTTGGAAAAAGTCATTTCTCTAACAATATAACAATTCTAAATTTTTCGTAAATATATTTGGAATGTGATACAAGAAAAAAGGAGACAATAGTGTTTAGTTGACATGAAAAGAAATTAAAGAAATCAAACTAACC